GATCTCTGTCAAGTATCTTTGAGGAGAACTGGAGAGGTGCCAGAAAAGAGCAAATGTGCTCCCCCGCTTCAAGAAAAAAAAAAGGATCCCAGTAATTATCAACCAGTGACACAACAATATCTCAAAAGATATTAGATCAGATTTTAAAGCAACCCATTTGTAAACATCTTGAAGATAATGCCTTAATTGAGAAGATTTCGCACATTTTCATCAATAAGTTGCGTAAACAACTTCATCATCTCCTTCACTGAAAAGTACCTATTTTAATGGACAAGAGGAATACTGCAGGTATTATCTGCCACAATTTCAGCAAAACTTTTAACAAGATTCCACATGACATTCTCATTGAACAGCTGTTAATGTGGTTTGGATGGCACCACAGTATGATGGGCCTATAGCTGGCTGCCTTCTTTTACTTAGAGAGTCAACATTAATGACTCTACATTGAGTTAGCGAGCTATAACTAGTTGGGTCCCACAAGGATCATCTGTCTTGGGGTGAGTATTATGCAACATTTTTATTAATTAACTGGATAACTGGATTGATGGGCTGCTTATCAAATTTATGGATGACCAAAAAATTGGGAGCTTTGGCCAGCACCAAGGAAATCAGAATTAGATTGTAATTTAATGTGGACAGGTTGGAAGGCTGAGTTAAGATGAACAAGATATTCCTGGAACAGGGAGAAATCTAAGGTGTTACATTTAGGAAGGAAAAATATAGGACAGACATACAAGATGAGGGATTCATGGCTTGTGCACAACATCAGAGAGGGACTTGGGAGTGGTCATTGACAGCAAGCTGAACAAGAGACAGCAGTGTGAGACAGCTGCTAACACAGTTCTGGATGCATCAGAGGAAGCATAAATCCTTATTCCCCTCTGTTCATCTGGAATACTGTGTATAATTCTGGGCACCGCATTTCCAGACAGATATTGTTAGGTTAAAACAGGTTCAGAAGAAGGCAAAATATGATACAGAAAGTTGAGGATAAGCCCTATGAGGACAGACTGAAGGAACTTCTAGAGAAAAGAAGACTGAGGAGAGACATGGTATTGGTGTTCAGTTACATAAAAGGGTAGATGGTGAGGAACTATTTTCCATTGCCATAGAAACTAGGACCAGAAATAATTGGTTGTAAGTTGCAGCTGTCTAGATAATCATTTAAATACAAGGGAAAAGCTATTGCTGGTAAGATCTGTACAACAGTGGAACAGTCTACCTATGGAGGTTGTAGGTTCTTCACTTCTGGAAGCTTTTAAGGAGAGCCTGGAGAGCCATCTCTCAAGGATGGTTTAGTTTTCCCCACAAATTGCAGAGGGTTGGACTAGCTGATCTTTGTGATCCTTTCCAACTCTACAGTTCTGTCATTTTAAGATTCTATGCACCTGCAGCCTTACCATTTTTCAACATTCTCATGGCATTTGTGGCTCTTTTGGTCATTTTTTTCTTCAGTTCCAGCATTTATAGTATTTATTTTTGTTTCATTATTTTATCATATAACTATCATTCTCATACAAATTTCCAAATACTCTTTTCAGCATTCCCTCACATCAGTTTCATCCCAAATCATTTTATCACCTTTAAATACCATTAACTCCATGGGTGCCTTCTTTTTTATCCCTCTTCACCCATTTCTGAAACAATTTTATATTTCCATCAAAATCACACTGTGTTTCATCTGCCTCTTTTAATCTTAACTGTTCCTTTGATTGCATTATTTTTAACTATGCAGCAACCATTCTGTTATATGCATTTTTCTCCTCTGTAGCCTCTGTAGCTTCCAGCAGGGATCCTTTCTCATTCTTTCCATTTTACTTGACACACATCCTTATTATAAGCAGGCACTCATGAAACAATCACCATTCTCATTCATTGTAGGCTCCCAAATGGCCCAGTCATTTTTTCTGTGCTCTCTTGTGTTCATCCATTCATGTCCCATAGCAGAATAATTTTTTCTGTTGGGTCACATTTGTTCAGATTTTCCCCCCAAACTCATCTCCAGTTCTTCCATCATCACCTTTCACTGAAGTATAACATACAGCTATCGCTAATCTATTAATTCTATTTTCATATATATGCCTACAACATACTTCCTGACCTATATTATAGCTCTTCATTCATCATTATGCCTATAGGTTCACTTCCCTGCATGTACTCATGAGAGCCAATTTGGTCTAGTGCAGTTATGGCAAACCTATGACATGCGTGTCAAAAGTGACACACCATGATGTTTTGGGTGACATGCCAGCATTCACCCACATCCGACAACAACTATTCTCCCTGTTTGAGTTACCAAAGAAACTGAGTTTATTTTACTCCTGTTTCATTTTTATAATTATTTGACATTTCTTTATATAATACACAGCACCACACGTGATTGGACTGTATTTTTTTTAAATAAATGAATATGTAAATAATTGTTTTGTTTGTTTGACATACCAGCAGAGTCAAGTTAGGCATTTTCCGAATTTTTGACATGCTGAGCCCAAAAGGTTCGCCATCACTGGTCTAGTGGTTAAAGCACCAAGCTAGAAAGCAGGAGACTGTGACTATTAGTCCTGCCTTAGGCACAAAAGCTGGCTGGGTGACACTCTCTCTCAGGCTAACTCACCTCACAGGATTGTTATTGTGTGGAAAATAGGAGGGAGTATTAGTATGTTCGCCGCCTTGAGTTATTTATAAAAATAATAAAGATGGGATTAAAAAAAAATCTTAAAAAAAACCCTCCACTCTGCAAAATCAGATTAGCCTTGTTGAGATCTGTTACAATCTTCCTCCTCCTCTTAGTTTCCCAGACATATAAGTATTTTTCTTTCATTTCATTTCTTAATTCATGCTCTGTCATTTACTCCTCTTACATTCTGTTACAGTGTTCCAAACAGCACAGTTGGCACCAGGTCAGCCCATAGATATTTATCTCCTCCACTCTTCATGATTTTGCTCAATCAAGGTTTTCACATAATGCTTTTTTGTAAGATGGCGTTAATTGCCAGCTTTAGTTAAAGCTGTGCCACATGTAGTTTTTCCTGCTTAACAACAACAGTAGTGGTCAGTCTGGGCACATTTTGGCCAGAGTGCCATATGTGCAACCAAAGCTCAGCATGCTCATATTGTTTCATACAAGGTAAAATCTCTAAATTTTAATGAAAGCAAATTTTATCATAAACTAGGTTATTAGAGTATATTGTTTGGTGGAGGTTTACAGTCAAATCCACATCAAGAGTACAGGTAGTCCTCACTTAACAACCATTTGTTCAGTAACCATTTGAAATTAAGATGGTGCTGAAAAATTTGACCTATGACCCAGGCCTAAAGTTACAGCTATTGCAGTGCCCTCGCAGTCATGTGATCAAAATTCAGGCACTTGACAGCCTGCCCACACTTACGACCACAGGGGCACTGGAACTCCCCCCACCTGCCTATCTCCCCCATTCTCACAGTGATTCAGAAGACCTCATTCTCCAAATAGCATGCCCCATTCCTTCTCCAAATAGTGTGCCTATTCTCATGATGCCTGGGAAAGACCAGAAGGTTTCCAAAGATCCCAAGAATGGGACACACAATTTGGAGAAGGAATGGCACAAGTGGCTTGGAGAACAGCGCAGACAGCCTCGGGAAGAAGGCCTGGCACAGCCAGCAGCTGCCTCCCATACAGTAAGGTCAGGCCGGCCGTGCCTTGTCAGCAGCAGGAGGAAAACACCAAAGGTCAGCTGGGAGTGGCAGAGCCTGTGGAGTGCAGGGCAGTAGGGGCAACTGGGGCTTTGTGCAGTAATACTGGGGTGGCTGGCCATGGTGTGGGGCTTGAGGTGGCATTTCTCAGCAGTGATGGCACTGGTGCTGAAGTCGAGGCCTGGGGAGCAGTGGCAGCTGGCTGAGACTGCTGAAGGCCCTGGGCCTCTACTTCAGCCCCAGCACTGCCTCCAAGTGCCACTATGCAGGGTGGCTAGAAGGGCATAGATGGGGGGAGATAGGCAGGTAGGGGGAGTTGCAGCACCCCTGCAGTCATAAGTGCTGCTGGGTGGCTGCGGCTTCCAGAGGCAGCTGTGGCTTTGCATCACACTACAGTGCCCTGCAACTTGCTCACAGTCTGCACCGGGCCTCCCCTACCTTCCTGCGGCACCCCTACACTTCTTACCTGGGACTCCCTCCGCTTAATGACCTGAGTCTCAGTTAATGATGGCAACTGGGAGTGTCAGGATTGCAGTCACTAAGTGAAGCGGTAATATGACATCTCACTTTATGACTGCATCACTTAACAACAGAAATTCTGTTCCCAATTGAGGTAATTAAGTGGGGACTACCTGTAAAGGATAATTTTATTATTTTTAATTAGCTACTGGCACTTCAAATCTTAGCATCAATTTTGGTTGACATTTTGTTGCAGCTTTTTTTTGCAAAAATATATTTGCCACAATCATTGTTACGTAATTCATTTTTATGCTACTTCTATCATTAATTTGATCACCTGTTATGCTAGCGGTTTTCTTTGATAAAACATGTAACATAGAAAATAATCTTAAGCAAGATTGGAAAAACTGGCAGAAACAACTTCTGGAAATGAGAAGTGATTCTCAGTTCTCCTCACCAGGCATCATGTCTGACTTACCCAGTAGATCCTCTGATCTTCCAAGAAGTCTGTGAGGATTGGGAGGCTGCCAAGGGAGGGCCAGGACAGGGAAGCCAAGTTCTACCAGTTACTTTACATAAGATTTTCTCTAGATTGAACCTAAGTACTAGGAAAAAAATGCTGTTGAATTCACTTGAGTTTACTCCTAAGTAAATGCAAAGTTGTGTATTATTTTTGTACTGTTAAATCTAATTGTGGACAGAACTGCAGTAATTAATTTATGACCAAAGTATGTAAGTGAAGGAAAATTCTAATGTAAAATAAAATAATAACTAATAAATACCTGTTTATTATTTTTTACAATAAATACATATTCTTTATTTGTTAAATGTGGATGATGATGATGATGACAATAATATTATCATTATAGATAACTAAATGACCATGGAATCTGGTGCAGACAACCAACAGAGTGGAGATGCAGCTGTTACAGAGGCAGAAAATCAACAGATGACTGTACCGGCACAACCACAAATTGCAACATTGGCCCAGGTATAAATGTATTTTCTCTCTATGGGATTTGCAACTTTTTGGGTTGGTGGACACATTTGAAGTTTTGTGGCATTTTCAAAGGAGGCTAGTGGTAGAACACCCATTTACAAAATTACTGTAATAGAAAAATGACAAATTTTAAAGCACTAAAGGTATTTTAAATAAGTTCTGCACGTCTTTTTTAGCCTCAGTGGAAAATAGTCTAATGAAGACTTTTTAAATATTTTAAATAGTTTAATAAGTCAATTGTAGAATATCAGGGCTCTTGAAATAATGTGAAACAAAATCCCCTGTTTTGTTCTGAGTTTGGGAGAAGGCTTAAAGGTACTCTAAGCTCTGAATGTTCAACATGGCTGCATCAATCTGAGACCATTTTAACTTGTAATGTTTTATACATCTGTGAAAAGCATGAATTTACCAAAATACCATCTGCCAACCTTTGTAATTCTTTCTTCTACATAGTTTTATTCTTTTTCAGTCATATAGGCATATTTCAGATTAAAGCTGCCCACCATTTTATTTTCTAAAGAGGTTTATGGGATCCATTTGATGCTAAGAGGCAGTCTTAGAAATAAAAATGAGAGTGGAGGTTGACAATTTGCTTTATAGGATATCTGCATTCTTTTTTTTTTAATTAAGTAAAAGTCAGGTAGAATAGGAAATCTGCTAGGTGCCCTGTGTTGTTTAATGCCACATTGTAGATTCAAGAAGTACCCTTGGCAACAGCTATTAAGTTAAGTTTGTGGTCAGGTGATTGTTGAACTAAATTTTGTGGCAAAGCTCCCATTCAGAGCAAAAAGCAAAAAACCACATCTGACTAATATTTATAATTGCAATATTGTATTTTATTTGAAACAGGGTTGTTAAAATCCCATTAATTGCAACAAGTCAAACTGTGGCTCTCCAAAAATAGCCTTTAAATATACCATAAGTGGGCAAAAAATAATTGTTCTCTTAATTATTGTTATCAACCAGAACAAATAAAATTAGCCTATATAAATGGTGTAATGGGTAATAGATTGGACTAGCAAAGGATAGAAGGGAAAATTTAGAGTGGGAAAATGCAGAAAGTATTATATATAGTTGCTAGACTTACTGTATCTTCTGTTCGAGAAATATTCTGATTCCATAACTATTACTAGTAATATTCATTTCATAGCATTTCATATTATCACCCTTTCTTCTTCTCACTGAGAATAGATACTAAATTATTTAAATGTAAAAATGGTAAATTGCTCAAAAGAACATTGTACTATCTAATAGTGAACACCTACAGTACATGGAAAATATAGTGGATTTTTAGGGATTTGAATGTAAAATATTCATTGTGATTAGCTGGAAAAGTTGGTACTAAAACTGTCTCATCTATACAAAGCAAGAATGTATATTCACATCCATAGATGTTTCTTCCTGAGGAAAAATTAAAATGATGGCTTCTGATTCATCATGAACAATATGCATATTCAAAATTTCTGCAGGATCCCTATAGCATGCTACAAACAGGTAGTAAGATATCTAAGCTTTTGCATATTGGAAGTTTCATTATTTTGTACTATTGATCTACTATAAATAATAGATCTAACTACATAAAGTTAATGATATTAACGGCACCAAAGGATATAACTGATTGTAGCTATATGTTTCCAGGGGGTTTCTTGCAAAAGCCAGTCATTACTAATCTTATCCAGGTGGTTCAAATATTGCATCCAAATATATCTGCTTACCAAAATTTTGCTTAGATACTGTAGCTGGAATAGAATTTTAACTTAAGCAATTTTATTGACCCCCAGGGACACATTCAGTGTCTCAGGGAATGCCTAGGTGCACTCAAGCACTCACACCTCTACAGACACATTTGTATATAGACAAATCCTCTCCCTGGAGGAAATGTTATATTTCTGTCCAGACTCTGATAGATCTGGGGATACAGCAAGACTATTAAAGAGAGGAGGCATAACTGTCTCCCTTCCTCCCCAGTGATACAGTTGCAGCTGATCTTAACAATGGGGAACTGCGAGCTCAGCCATATATTATTGGTGGAAGCAAGGGTTGGTGTAAGATAGGCAGCAGGTGAGTTTTGGGAACCTGTGGCAGGCCACACAGGAGCCATTTAGGAGCTGCAAATGGTCTGCAAACTCTGGATTTCCTATCCTTACTGACATTAAAATTGTTTTTAAAATAATGTGTCACTCTCTTTATCAGGTATCTATGCCAGCAGCTCATGCAACATCTTCTGCTCCCACTGTGACCTTAGTGCAATTGCCTAATGGACAGACAGTTCAAGTCCATGGTGTTATTCAGGCTGCCCAGCCCTCAGTTATTCAGTCTCCACAAGTCCAGACAGTTCAGGTAAACTGTAAGGAATTTTTTAAAATTACCACAAGAAGCATAGAAATACTGGGAAATTACTATATACTGAGCTACATTAGGTGGTATATACCTATGACATGCCAATTTAAGTTTATGAACATGAGTTCAAAACAATGCCTTGTGGTAGTTTTGTATTATTGTTCCACAGATAATCCATACTACTTAAGTTTTATTATTTTGTCTTAAATTTGAATTGTGACTTCCTGGATACAAGAATACATACACACTGTTTAGAATAAAAAAAATTATTTCCAAATTGTGTACTCAGATGGGACTTGGAAGCTTCATGGCTAAAATGGATTTTCTCTTCTTTCAAAATTCTTCTCAGCCGAGTTTCCTCTGTGATTCAGGTAAAAAAACCTAGGAGCAAGGGTGGTGTCACAACTTCCTTTTATATCCAGAACTTTCATTGGAGGAAATAACAGGTTGAAAATAGTAATGTTTGTGATGGAATATGCAGTCCATCACAAGAAAGTAGTAGCTTTTTTTAGTTCCTGCTAATATATCTTTGTATCATTGAAAGTACATACACACATGCTTCTATTAATTTTATTTAATCAGTTAATATATAGCTTAGCATAACAAGCATAAAAAAACAACTTAAAGTGATATAAAAGAATTATTTTAAGAAAGAGACAATGTATTTCCATATTTGTGTGTGACTAACTGGTCACTTAAAGTAGTTCATATAGCTCCTAGGTGAGAAAACAGGTTCTCATTTTTGGTTTAAAATACAGTGGTACCTCGAGTTACGAACGCCTCTGCTTACGAATTTTTCGTGTTACGACCAGCTCTGGCCCCAAAAATTTACCTCGTGTTGCGAACCATCTCGAGTTACAAACCGGATCTGCGGCCATTTTCCCTCCCGTGACACGTGGTCCGCGGCCATTTTCCGCCCCTGACTCTCCCTCCAAGCAATAGCCGCCTCCCTGTCCCCCACGCCAGAACG